ATGTAATTTTAAAATAGAAAAAAACTAAAATCTAACAATAATTTTGCTTAAAATTATTTGTAAAAATTATTTCTTTTAAAAATTAGAACTTACAAATAATATATACAAATGGATATTTTTTATTCGCATTCATCAACAGCCTGATCTAACCCAATCCATATCCTGACCAAAGAAACCTAAGCAGCTTGGAAAACCATACTCCACATAGTCAATTCCAATCTGTGACTCGTCTCCAATGTTGTCTCATGCGAACTGCTTGTGCCGTACATCACGAAAAAACAACGCCACTTCACGTGTTGAAGACTTGAAAACAGCCTATGCAACTAATCTCACTCTATTATAAGAACAAAAACGAAGCCTAACCACAGGTTGGGAGGAGGAGAGAGCTCAGAGGACAAAGAACATGTGAAGAAAGTTGTTGGGACCCCAAGAAATTTCTTCATCTGGTACTGTGTTCATTGTTCATTTTGGAAATCATTCGAAGAGGTCTATTTTGTATTGTCGTTTTGATTGGGTGGATGCTTAATCCATGGGCCACTGTGGGGAACATTTTTTTTTCTTTTCACTCTTGCAATTATAATAGCATTGAAGGAATTTGAAGACTTGAAGATCAATGTTTACAGTTTTATAATGGATATTCTTGATGTTCCGTGGTTTAAAATGAGAGGGTCTTTAGTTTTTGTTTTACTTTTAAATTAGCTTGTTTTGTTTTCATATCATGTTTGATAGTTTGTCATTGCCACCCTTCCTTCTTCTTTTACTGGAACCTCCATTGAAGGTACTACCAAAATCCGCATTAAAGGTTCTGAGAAGTTGAGCATGTTTGGAGATTTTATTTGACTATAGTTTTTGCATCAACGTGGAGGTCCTGGGAATTTAGGTCCTGAAACTTATACTTAAAATTTTAACTATACTTTTTGGATGAGGAGAGAAGTGAAAAAAATGAGAAAAGGTGATGTGAAAAGATATTGTGAAAGTTTAAGTTTAACGTTATTATATAGAATTGAATTTGAAGCAACGTGATCTTTAATTAATTTTGAGTAGAATGCATTTAAAGCAACATAATTTTTATTTAAATAGCATGTAAACGAACTCGGGTAAAAAATTGTTTTTTGGATATTTTACTTAAAATTACTTTTAAAGTGAGTAGCTCACTAATGCTTGACTATAAATCAATGATAGACGAATGTTTAAGAAATTAAAACACGAAACCAAACATAAAATTTTAGTGTTTAAAATTTATATTTAATCGGTAATGTATCTATATTTTTTTCAATATTATTAGTTATAAATTTTGTATTAAATTTATATTTATAAAAATTTTAACTCAAATTCAAACATATATTCAGTGTGTACGCACTTGCTGCCAATGCCTTAAGTTTTTGCTTAACAGTATAATACCATGTTTGATTCTAGGAGTTCAGAGATGGGTTCAAATTCAATAGGCTAAAAACACTATCTTCATTTTATTTTCCTTATTGATTAATGAACTTCCGATTCACTTGAATATGAGTGATTAGAATTTGAACGAATGAAATTGATATAGTTTAATAGTTTAGTTGAGTTAAAAGAAGGTGGGGAAATTGATTGATTTTAGAGGGTCCACAACTGTTGATTTCCTTACGATGTAAAGTGGGATAAGTAAATTGAGGATAAGTTTTATAATATAAAAAATAATAAAAAATTTACATAAATTAAAATTAAATTTTTTTTATTTTTTTAAAAGTTACTCTCATATAAATTTTCTAAAATTTGAAGAAATTATTATTTTTATTTTATAAGAGAATTTTTATTTATTTTTATATTATTTTTTATTCTTTTACAATGACTTATTCATAGGTTCACTCAAACTAAGGCTAAAATCATTATTGTTATTTCTATTTTACTCTTGTAAAAAAAACTTTAAATACAAATTTATAAGGATGTTATAGTTTTTTTAATTTTAAGTGCATTATTTTGTTTCATATTTCACTCTTTTTTTTTTATCAATTCAAACACATTTTATTCAACTTAAAATTCACTTTTGCTTTATTCTTTTTTATTTAATTTTTCTCTATTTCTTTCTTTTTTATTTTATTCTAGTTATCTAAACAAAGCATATTATTACAATCTGGTTTGAATCAATAATCACTGTGGAAAAGTCGAAGCGATTGCAGTGTGTAATAGGATTTTTAATGGCACAAAGTGAAAATATAATAATTATTATATTTTTATACATAATTTTGCACATTCATTTTTTTATTTTTTTAATATTTTTTTTTTCAATTTTATCACATCATTAACACATCTCTCTCTTTATCTATGGCTTCTCTCCAACTATTTCATGTGTGTCAAATAATATTCTTGCAAAAAATAAAAATAAAAATGGAAAGGGCTACAGGAAACAAGTTGTCTATGTGATTAAGCCCTGTATATACATATCCTCCTTTCAGCAATAGTTTTATGTCTATGTATTTTATATTGATAATTTAAATCTAATCTTAAAATAAGAAATGGCAACGATAATAACAACTAAATCTTATGTTTAAACATAGTCAATCAATCATACAAATTTACTAAACTCGGTCACTAATCTTAAAACAAGAAGGGGGAAAAAGCCATAAATAATAGAACTGCTTTTACTATTTGTCAGAAATGGACAAAAAATGGTTCTCTTTTTTATTTAATAAATAATAAGAATAAGAATGTGGTGTATCTAATTGGTATTTATTTACCTTCAGTGCATGTTCGTGGACTTATGTTTTTCATTTATTTCATTTAATTTTACATTCAAAGACAAGTTTTTTTCCCATAACTAAAAATTAATTTTCCTAGCAATAACTTTTGAAATTCTTGTGACAATGTTAATTGTATAGTTTTCTATCTTTAAACATTATATGCATTTTAAGGACTAATTATGTTATTTTTTTAATTTCAATTGATGTTAACTAATAAAATAATGTCAGCCTTTTCTTTTCTTAGTTAAATTTCGTTCTGGTTTCTTAATTTTTAATAGTCTTATTAAAAAAATCAAATCTTAAAATCTCGCACAAATAATTTGTATGAGTATCTATTTTTTCAAATGTTGTATATATATTATAAAGATCACTTACGATACAATTAAGTCTTTAGTTTTCTCTTCTCTGGTAGAAAACACTAGAATTTGTTTTACTTTAATTTCATAAAATGTGCTTTATAATCCTTACATAGCAAATCTGAACTCATAAACATATTTTCAGTCTGGGGTTGGGGATGACGTGGCAAGAGAATCGTCCAGACCAGGGACAACACATATGATGATGTGGCGAACTGTGAGAGTGTCGTCCCACCAGTAACCGACACTCATGATAGTGTCGTCCCATTATTAGACGATACTCATGAGATGTTAACACGTGTCGCTCAATGATGTCACGTTCTATCTTAATTATCTTTTTCTCTCTTTCAAAAATTATACCCTCATTTCCTTCATATATTCTACTATTTGAATATAATATAACAACAATTTCATTCATCCTGCATTACAAATAAGCCAAATTTATAATATAATAAAATTATATTTAAAAATTTATTTGTAATTACAAATATTTAAATTTTTTTTAATACTTAAAAAATTTATATTACAACATTAACACTTAAAATATTATCCAAATATAAAATAAATATTATTATTCGAAATATAAATTCTTAATAGCCAATAAACAAAATTATATATTTATAATGCTTAAAAAAATCTAACCTTATTATTGCTCTTCTTGCAATTTCTTCTCCAGCCTATCTAATTACAATTTCTTTTCCAGCAGCCTATTCGTTCTTTAGCTTTACGGTTAAAATGTGAAAGTTTCATATTTATACACATTTGAAGTTGGATAAAAGAATGTATCAAAATTTTTATCCACTAGTCACATTAAAATCGGGTATCGTGGGCCGGCACTGGAGTCGTCTTTGTTATAGACGCTACTAAAACCGTTCAAAAATAGACGACACAACTTCATTAAGCGACACATGTCAACATCTCATGAGTGTCGTCTAATAATGGGACGACACTGTCATGAGTGTCGGCTACTGGTGTGACGACACTCTCACAGTTTGCCACGTCATCATATGTGTCGTCCCTGTTATGGACGACTCTCATGCCACGTTATTCGCCTATCTAAGACTGGAAATATATTTATATGAAGCCCTATTTTAGTATTTTGTTTTAAAATTAACCTCAAAAAGGGGGAAAAAAAAACCCGATGCAAACAGGCACTTGGGCACCTCTGTTTTGATTTGACATGCTAATTTGACTGGTTCATTTCGATTTTGATAATTATGCAACATCGACCAATAATTCAAATTAAAATAAATATACATATTATAGAAATTTGACGCTGAATATTCAAAGTAAATAAGTAGTGTAAAAAATAGTAATATATTTTAATTCTATTCTTTTCTTTTATATATTTTTTTTAGTATAATTGATTCATTTCTTGAAAATTTTCTTAAATAACAAACATTTTTCAGAAGTTTAAATTCATCGTTGACCCAATGAAATTAAAGATGGCTTACTGGTCTTTATTAACTCATTACTCCAATACCCCAGAAGTGACTCTTAATGGTTGAGCATCTTTTTTTTAACCAATTATCGGAGTTTTAGCTGCGTCACCATCCAACTTGGGCTTTGGGCTCTATTATCAATTTGAAAGATTTGACACTTTTGACCCAAATATTCCATAGGCCTTTCGTTGGATGTACTGTGTGACAGGGTTTCTAAATCATTACTTTGGAGTGTCAATTATTCAAGTCAGATTGACTTATTTAGATGGTTAGCTACTAGTTGTGCCAAATGCAAAATAGCCAATAGGCAATAGTTGTCCAAGTATAATTCAGATTGACAAATTGTTAGCTTATTCCAAGCATAAGTAGGTTATACATTCATATGAATAAATTTATTTTGTCGTCAACAACACAATAGCTGCTGAGAAATAAGCAACTTTAATATGCCTTTTTCCAACAGAGATCACGGTAGATTCATCTACCCATTATGGTATTGGTAGATCAAACACAACAATGGGACTCCTCACTTGGAAATTACCATCATCCCAAACCAAAGAAGCTGACACAATAGATTTATCTATTGCTCCTTCAACAGTTAGCACAAAAGTTTGTTTTTGGCCAAGAGAAGTGAATGACAAAACACTCGGGTTCACTTGAATTTTTAGTCCTTGAGGAGCATTCACATTAGCTGTATATGTGGATGTTGGTGACCCAACATTTGTAACAGTCCTGTAGAAACTGCCACTCACATTGTGTGTGGAGTGTGAAGCCTCAAGAGCAAAGGAAGGGTAGTTCAATTCCCTTGCGGTTTTATAAGTTGTCTCAGGACAAGTGCTGTTATCTCCTGTGATGAGTTGGAAAATCTTTGAACCATAGCCTTGTCCACATAAAAATCTTATGTAGTCACTTTCACCAACATCATATACCAAACCAGGATCCACAGCTTTAGAAGGATTAATTTGGCCTACTCCATATGCGAATTCAGCATCACGGTTATTCATGGGACTTAGCTGTTTAGCTACAAGGATAAAATAAAATATTTGAATTAGGCTGCCTTTAGGGACAGTATTTAATTAAACGCTTATTTAATATGCTATTTTCAAATAATAGCATATATTATAAATTTAACAATAAGTTAAAAACATCTTGAGAAGAGCATAAGTTCTTAAAAAGGCAACAGTCAGGATCAAGTTCTATGCATGTCATAAGCAACATTTTATTTTAGACAATATTCACTTAGTTTAATTTCTTTTTGCATGTTCATACGTGTGACTCATTTTTCTATTACCTGTTGTCATTAGAGCTGAACGGATGGCAGCAGGAGACCACGTAGGATGAAATGATTTGACATACCCTGCAGCACCTGACACGTGTGGGCAAGCCATTGATGTTCCCGAGATCATATTGAACTGTAATTTTCTTTTGTCACCATCAATTCCTGAAGCAGGGGAAATTGGAGACCAACTAGCTATTATGTTAACTCCGGGAGCAATCAAATCCGGCTACAACATTAAAAAAAGAGAGTCATGAATGTAGTTACCTAATAGAGATATATTTAATTATTCATTCATAGAAATGTACCTTCAGAATTTCAGGTGTAACTATGTTAGGACCCCTTGATGAGAAAGAGGCCACCTCGGGGGCTAAAGTATCTTTTAATTCCTCGCTCTTAAATATGGTTGCAGTTGGATTCCTGCATGGTATTTCAAACAATCCACTTTAAACTTGATATTTTAAGAATGTAATTGAATAAATAATTTAATTAAATACATATTTAATAAGTTTTTATCATAAAAAAATTTATGCTATAAATTTGATCATAAAAGATTTTGTAACAAGTTAAAAAGAACATATTTTGATCAACTATATAAATTTATTAAAATAAATTTAAAAGGGTTTACACGAATTTTAATCTGAAAGTTACAGTTTATAGATACCTTGTAGAGTTTAAGTAGTCATATACACTTGCACCATCCTTTAAATCAAGGTAAGATCCAGGCAAAGGAAAAGAGAATGGAGAATCCCGAAAATTTTGACCTTGTGTGAGGAAACCAACAGCACCAGCTTCGAAGGGGCCTAATCCTTTAGTTTTGCCCTCACACAGAACAATTTTACCCTTCACCAATTTTGGATCCAACGTATTCATATAACAAAACCTGCAATGTGGAAATAACTCCATTAACCAATTATAAACTTTTGGAACGTTTGGTTTATATAATAAAGTCACTTTGGAGGACACATGATTATTTGTACTTTATTGTTCAAGCTGCAAGGACATCAAGGCTTGTTACCTGGATGAAGCTCCATCCATGCCTTCTTTAGTATTTGGTGCATCTCCAGCATAGATTATAGGATATAATTCTCCCTTAAGGTCAAATGTATTTATTGAGATTCCCTAAACATGGAACAAAGAGATTGATTCCTGATGTTACAATTCATATGAAAAGAAATTTTTTAATTAAAGTTTCATATCATGAATAACAAACCAAATTACCTTAGCTTGCATAAAGGAAATTAGGCCATGATGTGACCTTAAATTTTGAACTCACCAATTAGAAGATGAAATAGGATAGGGAAGGGTACTATACCTCAAAAGTTCTGTTGTCTCCTAATTCAACCTTTGTAACAAACTTTCTGTCTAAGGTGCTAGCAGCCACTGAAATTGACCAAGGTGATAAATTCCCTACAGTTGCAGATGTTGGACCTGAGTTTCCTGCTGAAAAAACTGTTAGTATTCCATTTTTCATAGCATGAAATGCTCCAATGGCACCTGGATCTCTAAAATAGTTTTGATCATTGGACCCTCCGAGCGAAACTGACAATATGTCAATCCCATCAGCAATTGCATCATCAAATGCAGCAAGAATATCTGCATCATCACATCCATCGGACCAACAGACTTTATAGACAGCAATGCGTGCTGATGTAACACCACCTCTTGTTGTTCCTTGTCCAAGGCCTAACATGCTTGCCGTGCTAACTGGGTTACCAGCTGCTGTTGATGCTGTATGAGTTCCATGACCTTCGGAGTCTCTTGGAGATTTGAGATCTTCATTCTCCAAGGATCCATCACCAGCAGCTCTATAATACTTAGCTCCAATTATTTTACTGCAAGGACATAGCATTAGCAACAAATGTTAAACGGGTACTTCTTTGCATGTTTTCTCCATGCAGCTTGTAAGAGTATTAGTATAATACTTGTTGCAAGTGAAATTAGAGGTTTGGCAAGTGCCCTTCCATTTGCTAGGTGGTGGACCAAATCCTTTATCATTGAAGCTCTCAGATTCTGGCCAGATTCCAGAGTCAATTACTCCAATGATGATATTACTTTCAGTGTTTGTTCTTTCCACTTGTTGTGGAAAACCAATAAAATCCCAAGACTTTGTTGTATGGAGTTGTTTCTTTTCACTAGGAAAGACAGACACCACTCCATCAAGTCCTGCATTATGAATTTTCTTAGTTAAGAAATCTTCAAGTCCAAATTTTCAAGAGGACATAATAACTTCTCACCAGCCATTCTTTCAGCTTCTTCTTCTGTTAGCTTCACAGAAAAGCCACCAAAACTACGTTTGTAGTGGTGTAGTACTGACTTAGGTGCAGCATTGCTGAAATTGTAAATACAAATTAATAAAAGAAGGTATGACAAACAATTTAAGTACACTTTTATAGTTCAGTTTTTACTTTTTTTAATTTTAGTATGCACGTAACTTCCAACTGCAACTTTAGTGACTCATAACATTACAATCATTTTCTGTTGTGACATTTCTCTGATCAATTTTTGTGGTAAGACTAGTCACATTCAACCCAGATTCTATCACAAGACCAATTTTTGTGGTAAGGCTACTGTCAACTGATTAATATTACTTACTACCTAAGAACAGGGCAACCAACTAGTTCAAAACTTCATTGTCAAATATGACTGAATAATAACCTGTCTGAAACTTCTTGTAGCATGTTTTTGTGAAGGGACAATAAAGAAACTTCATCTTTCATGCTGTTGCCAGTGTAGACTATGTATGTCTGCATTCAAAACACAAGTATCAGAAACAGGAAAAATGCACTTGTTAGCTAAATTGAACCAGAAAAAAAAAAAATAATTAAAAAAAAATATATATATATATATATATATGAACAAAGGCAATTTGAGGAGGTATCATAATAGTAAATGAAATTTATGTAGGTAATACATGAAGAGAGATGGAAGTATATTTGCCTTCAAGTCTTTTGAGGAAGTTGAGTGACATTTCAGCACAAGTGAAGTGAAGCTAAGGAGAAGCAAAAGAAGAGCAAAGGATCTATCATCCATTGTCAGATTAGTAGTAATGACATAGCAGACAAAATGGTTGATGGTGTTTATATACACTCATTGACTATGAAAATGTTACAATTTATGCATGCATATACCTTTGCATGATTCATATATTTTCTTCCTTTTTTATTTTTAATGTGGAAGAAACCCCACCATTCAATTGAAAAAAAATAGACGAGTCTACGAAATGGAAGTCTTGGCCAAGCTTGCCCCGCTACTTCTTGGAAGCTAGCAAACTACGTCAGAACTGACTGAGAATTATTCAGATCCACAATCATGCCATGATTTTTTACCTTGTTGGTTACTTCTTGACAATCTACACTCTTAATACTTCCACACTAAAATAAATTAAGGAGATGATTTCTTGTAAAATCTTAAATTATATCTTGAGATACCTTCAAACATTTTAGTTTTTAAGATTTTTTTAAAAGATATATCTTAATTCAAACTTTGCAAAAGGAACTACAAAGCACATAAATCTAAGAATTTATTAATCTTAACTTATAATTTCAAGTTCTCGTCTCAGTAAATATATTTTGTCTTATATACTCAAAAAAAGAACTTTAACATTTATAATCATAAAATTTTAAAATACTACAAAATTATCTTCACTAAAATTAATTTATTATCTTGAAAATATTAAGATATTATTTAGAAGTTAATTTTAAGAGAAAGAGAAAAAAGAGATACGAAAATTATTTATTTGATATTAACTCTTATTTGAATTAGCCTTCTGTTTTTCTCTTCTTTTTTTTTTTTCTTTTCTTTCTTACTCTTCAACTCTTTTTCTCTCTTTTTCTTTATAAACTCCTAAATAAAATCTAAAAATATTTAAAACTTTTTATTTAATGATTAAGAAAATTTATAAAAATAAAAATAGAAAATTTTAAATTATTCTTATAATAATATACTTTTAAGAGAATTTTTGTTAATATTAATCACATTAACTTTAGATCTACTTTTAAATAAATGTTAATTCTACAAGATTAAATTCTTTAAAACTCAAATTTATAAACATTAGTCCAAATGCATTCTTGATTTTTATTTTTTTGTGTAAAATGAAAGTTAAAATAAATCATGTTTTTATAAAATTAGAGATTAATGATATATTTTTAAAATTGAAAGACTAAAATGTTGAACTTTGAAGATTAATTTAAGAGTTTTGCTGGGAAGATTTCATTTGGATTGTAGCCACGTGACATGTTCAAGTCGTTGCCTAAGTGGGGTTCAGATCAATATGAGACGCACAAAGCCATGCAAATTAATGGATAGAAGAAATGTAAATCTTCCAATTGATCTCTCAAAGATAGGAGCAGTATATTAGGATTCACTCAATTATTCGGCAACTGTCACATTGGAACTTGTAGATTATTTATAGACCTAAAGTTGATGAATGGTGATGACAATGTAGCTATTCAAGATGAGTACTCGAAAATCTAATTTCGTAATTGCTACCCTGTTTGACCAATCATGATTGTAAGGCTCCATACGATATTTTTTTTCCCATTTTTTTCAACACTTTGAACTTTTTATTAATGTATGTTTGATAGAAGATAATAAATAACCGAGATGTTAATTAATATAGTATATAAAGAGTACGACCAAAAATTAAATAATATTTTTTATAAGATTTAGAATATTAATTTTATTTTCTTATACAAAAGCTTAAATATCCAAAAAGAAAACAATTGTTAAAGCAGAGATATTTAAGAATTGAAGTGTGAACATAAAATATGAGAAGTGTGACCATGATGATCTAGATAATAATAATAATAATTAAAGTGTGAGGTTAGATTAATGCAGGTGTGAATGAAGAATTCTTCCATTGAATGTGAATGGACAAAGTCAAGACTATAGAAATTATTAAAGTAGAAGAACATGTCAATTTAAAGTTCAATATTTCATGTTCTGTAATAAAAAATATATATTAACCTCAATTTTTAAAATTTAAATTTATGTAATAAATAATAATAAAAATTTTAACGAAAAATATTTATCATACTTTTATAATTTTAATATAATAAATATTTTAAACACAACATTAAAATTTGAGAGTTAAGAGAATGCGTGACTTATGTATGCAAAGGTACGAGTCATCACAAGTAATAATAACTCTCTCAAAGAAATTGAAATTAATATTGGTAATTGTTATGGTGCCTTTAAAATTAATAAGTTTGAATGCCCTTACGATTACGAAGAAGGCCAATAAGAAAGAAAGTGACCTGTCTAATTTTATCATTCTTGTTACTAAATAGCATATCCCTATCTTGTTTAAAATAATACTTTTTTAAAAGAGCTTATAATCATTTTAAAACCTCCAAAGTCAATTTTCATAAAATTAACTAATTTGGATAATAAATTTGTAATTATTTAACTCTTTTTTTTGTTAATTTTTCAAAGATTGAGAGATTAATCTTAATTTATGCCGAAACCTAATCCCTCACCCAATCATCATTATTCACAAATTTTTTTATGAATGAAGATGAATGACATGTTCATTTTGTTTAACTTTAATTTAGCTTTATTTATCAATAATGATGGTAAAAAATTGTAATAATTAATAAAAAAATAAATTAAAATTAAAATAGGAGACCATTATTTAAGGTTATCATTGAGAAAATACTTACTTTGAGTAAATATTATGAATTCAAACTGATGATGATCTTTGGTAACTTGTTGTGACTCAAGGGCTGTAGCCCATCTCTAGCTCCAAATTCATAGGTAATGGGTCAATTGGTAGAGAGGTTTCAATATTCAAAATTCACCTCACTATCCCTTACCAAATCTTGGATATATGCATAAACGCTGTCAGTAATTTCACAAGCACTAATTACGCTAAAATTAAATCAAGAAACAAATGTACACAATTAATTAATAATAATAAATTTAAGATATGTTGGAAAGAATTTATAAAAAATTATAAAAATAAATTATGACTTTCATAAATTCATTTTAATTAATTTCAAAATTAAATTATAATATAAATTTTGATATGATGATAAAAATATTAAATTATGTATCTACACCATTAATTATTTGTACATCAATCTTAAAGTCTTTGCCATAGTTTTACTTCCAAAAAGAAAAAGGAAAAACTTTTGTATTAGCTATCATCTATCTACTCTTCATAATTGGTGAAATATGTGTGGTCTGTAAAGTGAAAGCCTCCTTTTTATACCACTTTATTATGATTTATCTCTATCGGTTTCCACTACCTAATAATGATATGAATAAAGCTGATGAGGTTAAGGTTGAGCATCTAATTAATCTTATTCATAAGATTTTTTTATGAAATTATCAGTTAGTGGGTTCTAATATATATTCTCTGATATTTTTATTAAAAAAATTATATTAATATGACAATAAAAAAATTGACATATACCACAAAAAATCATTGCATACAAAATTATTAATTGATCATGTCATCACAATTAAAGATGTAATGGTGGACAAGGATAAATATGAAAATATATATTAAATGTTTATAAAATTTTATAACTTGTCATGTAAACAGAATCTGAAAAATAAAGCTTAAAAGAAACCAGAGGAGTGACCTGTTTTTTTTTTATTTCCACTAAAAACAGTGGTTTATTGAAAATAGACAAAGCCAGCTTAAAATAAAAAAGAATATTAAAAAATTACAAAGATATGTATACAACACATCAAATGCATATTTAGTCTAACTTATTCTAAAAATTATTTATTTATTTCACAAAATTTAAAATATTATACCCATTACTCACGCTATATAATATATATATATATATATATATGTATATATATATATAATTTTTAAATAAATAATTTTTTTAAAACTTTATGTATATTATATATTTTAATATAAAAAATTAAATATAAGAATATGAAAATTTTAAAAAATAATGAGAATAAAAAATTAAAATAAAAAATTATTATTAAATATTTTTTATAGTTTAAATTTTGTATTATTTTTTAAAAAACTATTGGAATTTTTTAATATATATACATATATTAAAAAAATTATCAACAATTTTTTATATTTTATAATTTTTAACCATTTCATCTCCAAATTTTTGTATGTATACTAAAACTAGATTTTAACAAATTTTGAGTTTTATATTTTTATAATTTTTAAAAAATCATATTTTAGTATATATTATTTTAAATGTCATATAAAAATTAAAAAATAACAATATACATATAAAAAGTTTAAATATTCAGTCAGTGGGAATAAAAACTAAAATTATTATTTAATAAATATAAAATAGTTATGAGTATTTTTAAAAAAATACGAGTATATGACAAATAATATAATACCCCAAGCATACCTACCCATTTTTTTTCCCCCTACAATCATATATTAAAAAAAAAAACATTATTGGAATTTGATTCTAACATAAAATAGTTGTTGGCGGCTTCGCACTGCACGTTTTGTACTTTTCTGCTCTCTAATTTTCCAAAAGGAAATGGAATCGTTCCCCTTTGCCCTTTTTTATCCTTCGTCGTGCTTTACGTACGGTGACATGATGATTAATACTTAACCATAAATTTGGAAAGAATGCTAAAATAGTTATTGCTGCTTTAAATGCTTTGATATAATGATAGCACGACACATGTTGATTTTGAAATATAATTTTTATACATTGCATAGTAGTTTTATCTTTTTATCACCTTTTTCTTAAATTTTTCTTCTTATTATTTTACATCAGACATGATTCATTAGAAATATTTTGTACATGTTCATCATCTTTTTCGTAGCTTTGACCATTAATGAACCACGTGATGAAAATTATATATTAATTGATAGTTGTGGAGGAAAGAAAAGCATTAATTTCCATTGCAAGAGTGATAAGGATTAAGGAAAAGGGAGATAACAAAGAGATGATAATTATATATGGAAAGAACAGGCTTGTTAGAGTAATGAGAAGAGTTCAATGTTTAAAACTTTATAAAAATAAAATAAAATAGATGGAAAATTAGTTTAATTATAGAATTTAAACTCAAAAGCTTATGTTTTAGTGAATTTATTCAAATTAAATTAGTCTATC